AAGAGACATAGATGGACACTATGACTAAGGGGACAATACATCACAAAGATATACTCATCAACACATACTCCCTAATGAAGGATCACCAAAATATATCAGACATTATCAACTCTGAAAACAGACAATAAAGAAAATACATATATCAGGGGCCTCCCTACTGGCGCAAGGGGTTAAGACACAACCTATGAAACTGTCCGCAGCCAGTGCAGTCCGAGTTTAATCCCCCGGCTATGGAGCCACCCACATGGCACAGCAGACCTCTCCTGACTCGCCCACTCTCTCCTGACTCGCCCACTGCTCCCCTCAGCAGTGTACTTCTGGCAATCTGCCTGTTCTGTTCCCCACTCTGTCTCTGGTGAATCTTCTCACAGCATACACTTCTGGCCTGTACCCCAGCTCTTGTATGCATAAGTAAATAAATCTTAAAAAAAAAAAAAAAAAAAGAAAGAAAATACACATATCGTAGGAGACTCCAACACCCCACTCATCAATGGGCAGATCAACAAAAACAAAAAATAAATAAGGACACTAGAGCCCTAAATAAAGACCAAGTCCTCACGGGCTTAACTGACATCTATAGGACACTACACCCAAAAAAATCCAAGCACATATTTTTCTCAAGTGCACAGGGATCATTCTCCAGGACTGATAACATATTGGGCCACAAGACAAACATCAACAGATACATTAAGATCAAAATCATACCATCTATCTTCTCTGATCATAAAGGCATCAAACTAGAAATAAACCATGAAAAGAAAGCAAGGAACCCTCCCACTTCATGGAGATTGAAACCCACACTACTGAAGACCACTGGATTAAAGAGAAGATCAAAGAAGAAATCAGGGCCTCCCTGGTTAAATCTCGGCACTGTGAAGCTGTCAACAGGCACTGCAGCACATGTTCGATCCCCAGCCAGGGCACTAACCCATATGGCACAGCAGACCTCTCCTATCTCACCAGATGCTCCCCTCAGCAATGTATTTCAATCTGCCTGTTCTGTTCCCCACTATGTCTCTGGTGAATCCTCTCACCACCCACCCCGGCACCTCTGGCCTACACCCTAGCTCTTATATGCATAAATAAGTAAATCTTAAAAAAAAAAAAAAAAAAGAAAGAAAGAAGGAATACTACCAAATATGTTCTATGAAGCCAACATTACACTAATACCTAAACCAAACAAAGACAACACAAAAAAAGAAAACTACAGGCCAATCACCCTAATGAACACTGATGCAAAAATCCTCAATAAAATCCTTGCCAACAAAATCCAACAATACATGAAAAGGATAAGACCAGGACCAAGTGGGATTTATTCCAAGGGCATAAGGATGGTTCAACATTCAAAAATCAATTAATGTAATCCAACACATCAATAAAAAGAAAAATAGGGCCTCCCTGGTGGCGCAAGGGATTAAGAAACAACCTATGAAGCTATCCGCAGCCTCTGCAGCACGAGTTTGATCCCCCCGCCAGCCAGGGAGCAACCCACATGGTGCAGCAGACCTCTCCTGACTTGCCCATTGCTCCTGTCAGCAGTGTACTTCGGTCAATCTGCCTGTTCTATTCTCCACTCTGTCTCTGGTGAATCCTCTCACCCCACTCCTCCAATCCCCACACCTCTGGCCTGTGCCCCAGCTCGTGTATGCATAAAATCTTCAAAAAAATTTTAAAAAGAAAAAAGAAAAATAATAAAAAAGAAAAAGAAAAACCATATGATAATATCAATAGATACTGAGAAAGCATTTCAAACAGTTCAATATCCACTTATGATGATGAAGGCCCTCAAAATTGTGGGGTTAGAAAGAACACCCCTTAACATGACAAACCCACAGCCAATATTATTCTCAATGGTGGAGAGCTGAAAGCCTTTCCTATAAGATCAGGAACAAGACAAGGATGTCCACTCTTGCCACTGCTTTTCTACATAATACTGGAAGTCCTAGCCAGAGCAGCAAGAGAAAGACATACAAGGAATTCAAACAGGGAAAGAAGAAGTAAAACTATCACTGTTTGGGGGGGGGGGGAGTGGCGGGGAAAGAAGGGGTTGGGGTCAAAATAAGGGAGATATAATTGTATGGGGAATATAAAAAATAAAATTTAAATTAAAAAAGAGAAAAAAAAAGAAAAAAACTATCACTGTTTGCAGATGATATCATAATATACAGAGAACCCTAAAAACTCCACGGAAAAACTAATTAAAATAATAAACCAGTTTACTAAAGTAGGACACAAAATCAACACACAAAAATCAGTAGCCATCCTATATGCAAACAACCAATCTGAAGAAATTAAGAAAACCATCCCATTCACAATTGAAACAAAACCAAATTCCTGAGAATAAACTTAACCAAGGAGATGAAAAACATCCCCTGCTCATGGACTGGAAGAATAAATATTATTAAAATGGCCATCCTACCAAAAGCAATTTACAGATTCAATGCTATCCCCATAAATACCTCAGTGACACTCTTCAAAGAAATAGAACAAATATTGATGAAATGCATATGGGGCCACAAAAAACCTCAACTAGCCAAAGCTCTCCTGACTAAAATGAAGGAGAATGGAGTGATCATACTCCCAGACTTCAAACTATACACCACCACCATAATAATTAAAACAGTAAGGTATTGGAACAAAAACAGACACACAGATCAATGGAATCAAATAGCCCAGAAATAAAGCCACACATATATGGACAGCTAACCTTTGACAAAGGAGCAAAGAATATGCAATGGAGCAAGTACAGTTTGTTCAATAACTGGTGCTGGGAAAACTGGAGCAACACATGCAAAAGAATGAAACTAAACTACTACTTTCACACTATGCACAAAAATCAACTCAAAGTGGATAAAAGAATTGAACACAAGATCTGAAACCATAAAATAAATACAAGAAAATATAGGTAAAACACTACATGACATACATCTCAGTAACATCTTTATTTATTATTTTTTTAAAGATTTATTTATTTATGCATACAAGAACTGGGGTATAGGCCAGAGATGGGAGAGGTGAGAGGATTCACCTGAGACAGAGCGGGGAGCAGAACAGGCAGACTGACTGAAATATACTGCTGAGGGGAGCAGCAGCAGGCGAGACAGGAGAGGTCTGCTGCACCATGTGGGTAGCTCCCTGGCTGCCGGGGATTAAACTGGTGGTGCAGAGGCTGTGGATAGATTCACAGTGCTATGCTTAACCCCTTGCACCACCAGGGAGGCCCCTCAGTAACATCTTTAAAGACTCATCGCCCAAAGCAAAGAAAGTGAAGGAAAAGATAAACAGCTAGGATTACATCAAACTAAAAAGCTTTTGTACAGAAATAGAAACATTAGCCAAAACAAAGAGACACCTTACTGATTGGGAGAAAATTTTTTGCTCAATAAATTTTTTTGAAAATTTACTATACAAATAAGGGACTGATCACAAAGATCTACAAAGAACTCACATGACTCAACAAAAACAAAGTCAACAATCCAGTCAAAAAATGGGCATAAGAGCTAAAAAGACAACTCTCCAAAGGTAAAATGCAAATGGCCAACAGATATATGGAAAAAAAAAAATGTTCAAAATCCCTAATAATCAGGGAAATGCAAATCAAAACCACAATGAGATACCACCTTACACCAGTGAGAATGGCACATGTTAAAAAAACAGGCACCAAATGTTAGTGACAACGTGGTGAAAAAGGAACTCTCCTACACTGCTGGTGGGAATGCAAACTGGTCCAACCAGTATGGGAAGCTGTGTGTAAGTTCCTCAAAGTACTACAAATGGAGCTACCATATGACTCGGCAATTTCAATTCTAGGAATCTACCCAAAGGACACAAAAACATTCAAAAGGATACCTGCACCCTATGTTTATTACAGCACTATTTATAATAAATAAGATATGAAAACAACCCAAATGCCCAAAAACAGACGACTGGATCAAGAAGATGTGGTATATATACACAATGGAATACTACTCAGCAATCAAAAAAGATAAACTCATGCCATTTGCAGCAACATGGATGGAGCTAGAAGGGATCATGCTCAGTGAAATAAGCCAGAAGGAAAAAGAAAAAAATTAAATGGTTTCACTTATAGGAGGAACATAGGGGAAACAACAAGGGATCAGGGGAAAAAATAACAATAAAAAACAAAACAAAACAAAATCAACAGGAGAAGAGAGAGGGGGTCAAAACAGGGGAGGAAAGAGCACAAGGGACTACGGCAATAGAGCACAAGTGAACTGGTGGTGGGAATTCTATGGGGACTACGCCTGAGAGAGCAAACATTACACAAAAATGAACAATGATGTAAAATATATAAAAACTATATTTAAAACAAAACAAAACAAACATAAGGTACTCCTATCAAAACTATCTCTAAATAGAGAACATAAACAAAATTAATTTACACGTCATATGGTTTTAAAATGTCAATGGAATAAAACAAAAAATTATTATATACAACTAAACAGAATACAACATATCAGTAATAAATTTGGCAGCTCTCCTGCCTGCCTGACTATACAGATGCCTCTCTTTTTCTCCTTTTCCTAATAAACCTATCCTTTTAAAATGCTTTTAAAAAAGCTTTTTCTTGGGCCTCCCCGGTGGCACAATGGTTGAGCGCTGGGTTGCGAAGCTGCCCGCAGCCTCGGCAGCGCCGGTTCGAACCCCGGCTGCTCCCCGGCCACTGGGTGAGGGTCCCACATGGCGTGCAGACCTCTCCTGCTGCCTGCTGCTCCCCTCAGCAGTGTACTTCGGTCCTTCTGCCTGCTCTGGTCCCTGCTCTGGCTCTGGTGAATTCTCTCACCCTCCCACGCTTCTGACTGTACCCAGTGCTTGTATAAATAAATAAATCTTTAAAAAAAAAAAAGCCTTTCTTAAAAAGTAATTTCTATTCATACAATCTCATAAGATGGATTTACTTTTAATTGTTGCTCATTATCCTGACGCCCTGGCACTATTCCATTCAATTAATGCTTCCAGAGAGAAAGAAAGTAGCCTACCATTTTCACAATGTAGAAAGCCATTGCATGTAAGTGTCGGGTAGAAGTCCCACTACCAATCACAAAGTAATCTGTGTATTTCATTTCTGGAGGAACCTTGATCACACAAATGTCTCTTGCATTTTCTTGCCTCAGAAGTGAAACCAGTGTATCGATGTCAAACTTGAGACCAGTAGGATCTGAAATGCATAAATATTTGCTTTTGTCAGGAGGCCAAGTAGAAGACAGACTCAGTAAGCACCAGCGATGCAGGCAGTCAACAGTGAAACTGCTCTTCCACAGGGTGTTTGGCTATAATGTTTGGAAAGACAACAGGGTCTAGCTCTCCTGGTAGGTGGACCTAGGCCTTGGTTTTAAAAAGCAGCACTCAACTTTTATGGGAAGGGTGCACAGATTATATCCATTCTTTGCTATTACCACAAGCAATAAAGGAGTCTCTACTCAGAATACCTCAAAGAACTGCAATCAAAAGAAAGTAAAACAGGGCCTCCCTGGTGGCGCAGGCGGTTCAGCGCAGTGCTATGAAGCTGTCTGCAGCCTGTGCGGTGCCGGAAGCAAGGAAGCAACCCACACGGCAGGGCAGACTTCTTCTGTCTCGCCTGCTGCTCCCCTCAGCAGTGTATTTCAGTCAGTCTGCCTGTTCTGCTCCCCTCTCTGTCTCTGGTGAATCCTCACCCACCTGCACATCTGGCCTGTACTCCAGTTCTTATATAAATAAATAAATCTTAAAAAAAAAAAAAGTAAAACAGTAATAAAAGTTGGGGAGGTGGTGATATCCTGAGGTAAACTAGTTGAATCCCAGCTCTAAAGGACCACAGAACTACAACTGTTAGGCAACATTTGGTCCATAACATTCACTTGAGAGATGAAGAAACTGAGACAACTAAATATGTGGCCTAAAAATCAACCAAAGAGAGAGCTAAAAATTTTAAAGTGATTCTCATTTTGAAACCTCAAGCTTTTCTTATAAAGCCACTTGGGTTACATAACTGCTATCTTTATCTCCCTCCTCCCCCAGAAATTTCTACTTCATTTAGGAGTATTAGAGGCCGTTAATTTAATTTATAGGTGTACTAAGCTCTAAAGCTAACTTCCAAGGATCAACTGGCTAAATACACTAAGACCTCTCTCATATGCTAAGCTTTCACAATGTGAAATTTACAATCTCTTTCTACAATAAAAAGTATAAGTAGAGGACCTTTAATTGGTCCCATGGCTCCCAGCTCCTACCTCTTCCTCAAATCCTCACGCCCCAACACTTTCGACATGTCCATTTTCTGGACCTTAGAAGAAGAGGATAAAGGTGAAGAGAAATGAGGATGGCGAGATTGTGATGCCAAGGCCCCAGTGTGGCCCTTCTGACACCTGGAGTTTTGAAGACGTCAGACGTTCTAGTCTCGGCTTCACTTTCTTCACTTCCAGCTCTGAAAACGTGGGAATTTTACTACTACAAGGAAAACGCAGAGAGAGGCAACCCAGGCCTCCTCAGCTGGGAGTCGGCCCTCAGATTCCCAGAAAAGCCCGTCACCAGCCCCCTCGTCTAAAATTGTACCTACTGCGCCCGACTCCGGGAGTCCCTCGCCGGCGGCCCGCTCTGCCTGCTCCTTCAGCCCGGGCCCGCCATGCAGGCCGCGCGCAGCGTCCGGTGTCAGGTAGGCCCGGCCGAGCGCTGAGCCCGCCGGGAGCCGCCCCACGCCTAGCAGCCGAAGCCGAGGCCCTGCGGCCGCCACCGACCCCGCGCCCCGGGGAAGGGCCGGGCGCCACGGCAGGGTCCGGAACAGCCGCGCCACACAGCTACTCGACCCCATCGCCATAGCCGCGCGCCGTCTCCCGGGGCGGGACTTAAAGGAGGCGGAGAGGTCTCTGAGACTTTCTATTGGTCAGCTCAATCCAGCGCGGCCGCGGAAATTGACGTCAGGAATGTGGGCGGAGCTGTGAGCGGAGCGTGTTACCCGGAGGGCGAGGGGATGACCTTGACGCCAAGGGAGTGATTGGAGAGCACTTGTGTGTAGAAGTCAAAGGGTTAGTGTTTCACTAACCACCTTAGTGACGCACTAGGGCGCCGTCTGTGTCTTTTTTTATTTTTTAAGTCTGTCGTCACTGGAATTGTAAACTGCTTAAAGCAGAAATTCTTGCTTTGTTTTAACTGTTCTCTCCGCAGCACCTAAAACAGCTCCTAGTACTGAATTTACTGTTGTTGTGCTGTTATCTATTGCTGCTGCTAATTACACTGGAACCAGGACATGTATTGTAATCTACCTATCTCCCATTATCAAAAAATTATCTATTGCAAATTTGAAATCCCATGAAGAAAATCGATTTTCTGCACTCCCCTTATGGAGGTGTTAATGCAAATAGACGGCAATGTGAGGCCCACTTCCCTGAGAATAAGAAATGCTGAGGGTGAGGTTACAGTATTAAACTATAGGATTTGTGAGCAGAAAGAGACCCCATGAAGAAAAACTACATGTCCGTGGCCAGGAATCAATTCTCATCTCCAAGCCTGGTGACTTCTAAAAGGAAGACCTTACAGGGCCTCCCTGGTGGGGTAGGGGTTAAGTCTCAGCACTATCACCCCTGACGTCTGAGTTCAAAGCCTGGCCAGGGAGCTAACCCACATAGGGCGCAGCAGACCTCTCCTGTCCTGCCTGCCCATTGCTCCCCTCAGCAGTGTATTTCAGATTTGCTGGTTCTGCTCCCCACTATGCATCTGGTGAATCCTCTCACCCCCTGCATCTCTGGCCTACACCCCAGTTCTTCTATGCATAAATAATTTTTTTTTTTTAAAAAAGGAAGACTTTACAGAGGTTCCAGCAGAAATTAAAGCTACAAAAACATACAAACTCCTCTGTGTACCACCACAAATATTTATAATCACTTCCAGTTATTTTTGAAAATAGAAGAATAAGAGTTACAAATAAATCTCTTGTGTCCTGTAGTACCAGTCCCATCCTCTTTAATTCCATTTCCCCACTGTTAGAGATGCATCTCCATAGAAAAGGGAGGAGCATCCCGAAGGGTGCAGTGAACAGTGCCATTTTCCGCCACATCCACTAACATGCTACCTCCTACTGCATTTCCCACCATGCCATGCTGAAGAAGGATCTAGATGGAGATATAAATTGAGGTGGAAGAAGGGAGAGACACATGGAGAAGAGGGTTAGAAGGGGAGACACTGGGTAAAAGACACCATGGAGAGGTTGCTCCTGGGACTTTAGTATTTTGACAGAGACAATGGCAGTCATTAACTTGACCTTGTGGTCGACTATATGGTACATTTTGAATTTCGGGTCATTCCTTCAGTCCCAGCTCTCTGAGACCTGCCTAACCCTTTTTTTCTGGTTCCTTACTAGGAGCTACCTAGTATTGCAAGGGGACAATATGTGTACTTAGAGGTCCAGCTTCAAACAATAGCTTTGAAATATGAGGGGAACAACACCTAAGGCAAGTGGTGGGGAGCAGAGCCTACACTGTTGCCCACAAATAGATTCACTGGAGAAACCGTGGAGGAGGTGCTTCCCATGTAAGAGCCCCTAGCGGTGCCCTCAAACTACCAGCTCATAGCTTCATCTTATTGCAGACCTCAATGCCCACTCCAGGCTGCCCTTGTTCAGCTGTTCTCTAGTTTAGCCCTTGTGCTCATCTCTCTCCGTACTGCTCTGTTCTTCTTACCTTTGTTCTCTTTGAAGAAGATCCTTGAGGTCCCTCTGGTACCATCTCCCAGAGTTGTGCCTGCACTCTCTACCCAGCCCAGGGGGCTAGCTGCAGAGGACATCTATGACTGCAGCTCCCTACCTTCCTACCTTCTACAAAGCTCCAGGAAAGAAGTCTGAAAGTCTCTTGGTTTTGCTAACAGAGCAAACAGGCAAACAGGAATGGTTTTAAGGTCCATAATCTTAGGAAGTCTTTCTAGTCATGGGTCCTGGTTAATTTATAATCAAGCCCTGTTCCCTCAGGAAGATGTTTCAACCCTCAATTCTCAGAACCCCAATGACAAAGATTGATTATTAACCTCCCTCCTTCTGATTCTGTGTTTAAAAAAAGAACCAGGGACTGAAAACAGAGTTGATGTCTACCTGATGACCTTGTTCACAAATGGGAGCATTTTGTATTTTTGAGAGCCCCTCTGATGGGTTACCCTCTGCTTCCCAGTCTTACCTCAGGTAGAAAGGAAGATCTGTAAAAACAACTTTTACTAATTAACATTAAGGATAGTGCTGATAAACTGTCTCTTGAAATCAGAGGTAATGAGAAACTGCTGTTTATAATCAAATCCATGAATGGGACCATCCCACTCTCCTGAAACATCAGAGACACCTGAGTCATTTCCCACCGAGAAGCAACTTTGACATCCTTCCCCACCAGGTACAGAGCATATTTCTCCCCATATTCCACAACTCATCTGACTGACTAAAACTAGCCCTGTGAACTTCCTCTTGTGGCATTAAATAATGATTCAGAGGCTCTGTGACCCTCCCTGATCCAAAAACCAAACTGGAGCCTCATCTCCACCAACATGACCTTGCATTTTCTTTCTTTCTTTTTTTTTTTTTTTTCAGATTTATTTATGCATACAAAAGCTGGGGTAAAGTCCAGTAATGCAGGGTGGGGGGCGGGGAGGGGGTTGAGGCGATTCACCAGAGACAGAGCGGGGAACAGAACAGACAGATTGACTGAAGCACACTGCTGAGGGGAGCAGCGAGCGAGTCAGGAGAGGTCTGCTGTGCCATGTGTGTTGTTCCCTGGCCAGCTGGACATCGAACTTGTGCTGCAGAGGCTGAGGATTGCTTCATAGTGTGGTGCTTAACCCCTTGTGCCACCAGGGAGGCCTGACCTTGCATTTTCTTTCCACTAAAATCTGATTTCTGATGAGCCTCTGATTTCTTTTTTCCCCAGAGATTTATTTACCTATGGATACAAGAGCTGGGGTACAGGCCAGAGGTGTGGGGGATGAGAGGATTCACCAGAGACAGAGCAGGGAACAGAACAGACAGACCGACCGAAGTACACTACTGAGGGGAGCAGCGGGTGAGCCAGGAGAGGTCTGCTGTGCTCTATGGGTTGCTCCCTGGCTGACCAGGAATTGAACTCGTGTTGCAGTGGCTGTGGATAGCTCCATAGGTTGCGTCTTAACCCTTGCGCCACCAGGGAGACCCAATGATGAGTCTCTGATTTCTTGTGATCCAATCTGTTGACAATCCAGTAAAGATTCAGCTTTCCTTTTCGTAATCCCAGTTTTATGAGATGCTTCCATTTTGCGATTACCCTGAGACCAGAGTAATTCTGAATAGCAGATGAGTATAGTTACCCCATACCCATGGCTAACCTCCTGAGTGCTGGTTCAGAGCAAACAAACTGTAACAGTAACTCATACCCCCTGGTTAAATCCCTGCCTCTGGTTGCTTTCAGCTAAGGCCAAGTTACCACAACAGACAGTTCCAAAAGGGGGTGTGGGGAGGACACTGCACAGAGTGATCAGGTTTGGACTGGTGTCTGACCTTTACAACATCTTTGGGTCACATGTAAGGAAAACTAGTGGCAACAGACATTCATTCCCACTGTTGCAGCAGATCAATTCTCCCATCTCCCTGGTGGCATCACGAACCCATGCCTCTAAGAAATGCAACCAATGATCCATGCAAACTGTTTAACATACAGAGAGGCTTTCTTAGCTCCTGGTAAAAGTTCTGAGTCGGAGTCAGCTCTGGGGTGAGTGCATTTCCTCCAGGGTCTTTCAGCTGGAGGATAATTAGTTGCTGCTGATGCAAAGGCTACTGTTACTGTTGAGAGCAAGGTGATAACAACAAAGGTGCAGCCACTTAGGGGCAAATAACTTGTATGCATTCATATGGCTTTAGCACATTCAGTTATTTATCCAAAACATTTTTTCAGCCCCTACCATAATCCAGCCAACTGTTCTAGGTGCTGCAGACAAGATCCCTTGGTTTCAAGGGATTTCCTTCCTGTTTAGGGGGACAGATAAGAAAGTAACTATAACAACAAGAGCCATGGAGAAGGAGGCTGCTGCTGCAGGAACTTCCTAAAGCTAGCTAACCCGGCCAAGGAGCATGGCTTCCTTTTGCTCCCATTGGTTCTCTAGGATTTTGAAACAACGTGATTATGATCAAATTAAGATCCAGCAGTTCTCTCAGGGGGACACATTGCAAATATAGCAGCTAAAGCTATGGCTGAGACAAACTAAATGTTGGGCAAATTAGAGTGGTGTACACTCTTGTAAATGCAGGAAGGACACAGTGCAGGTTTTCTAATCCAGCAGACCGGGTAAAGGAGGAGTCAGAGTCCTGGAGTCCTCAGTGGCTTTTGCAGGATTTTATTGGGATTTATCAGGTACAAGGCAGGCAAGGGCGCTGGGGCGCCGGGAGGCTGGCAGGCCTCCCAGCCCCCAGCAAATCCTCACTCTATCTGGACTCTACAGCCTTCTCTCACGTTCTTTCTGCTCTTCTCATGACTCTGCTTCTCTCTCGGCTTCTCTGCTCCTCTCTTGGCTCCAGCTGGCATCCCCACGCCGCCGCCCCTAAAAGCCCAGTCTCAGCCCAGGTGAATCCCATCTACCTATGCCCACACCCTACTCCAGGTGCCCGCCATCAGGCATGCATTCAGGACCGCAAGGATCCATCATCTATCTTGATGGCGGGAGGGCAGAAAAGCCTGATACCTTTTCCCCACCCCACAACTCTCCATAAGAAAATAAATTCAAGGTAATTCTAAATTTAAAACGATTAAAATGAGAAGATTTCTAAGCCAGTGTTCTCTTTCAGAGACGACTCCCTCCATTCTGCTTTCTCCCTGAAAT